CTAAATACATATCAATTTTTTTTATTATAACTATCGCATTTTTCTGACCTTTGTTACTGATAAACCCTATTCATTGATTCACCACACATGTCGTAAATATATTGTTGAGACTTGAAGTAAGTTTTGTTGCTGCTAGTTCAACCAAAGAGCAATAAAACTAACTTACTTAGTAATATTATAATGATAAATTCCACTTTTATTTTAGCTGTATCGTATGTTACTTTGTAGAATAGGATAACCATTAAAAACTGAAGTTTCGTTCGGTTTCGATCCGTTTTCGTTTCGATTTAAACAAAATTTATTTAGTAGAATTGGCCCCCTGGGAAGCCGTGGTCGAATCACCAGGAAATTCATACCCTCGTACATACGAGGATCATGGCTAATTTATTTCGTTCTTTTTACCTTTTCATTTGGTTACAGATATTCCGTCCACCACAAACTGATATTGACACAGTCAACGCCAGGTTCCGCAACGGTGATCCCGTTTATAAACACCCCATGATCCCCGGATACGAGGGTATGTAGCAACTTAACTACATTTATAGATGTATGATTAGCAAGGTGTAAAAAAATGTGTCAGCTGTGATAGATATGCGATCGAAATTTGAGTCACCATTATCCACTCTTTGAGTGTCACCGTGTGGGATATAGAAAGTTTGAAACTGGTAATAATACTCTTTTATTGGTGTTATAATTAATAAATAACTCAAGAATAAAAAACACTCCTTCATTTTTCACTTTTATTATATTTTAAAGGTTTAAATAACGATAAAGATATAAGAAAAAATGTTCCAGACATATTAAAATTTTATGCATATTCCCTATTGCAGGGGTGGCCAACTTGTTTAGACCCAAGATTTATTTTTCGCTGACGACACCCAGTACGATCTACCAATTAATTTACTTCTTAAAATCTTAAATTAAACAGCATAGTTCATACACAATTATGTAGCATTCTTATTTTATTTGTATTTTTTGAATTGCCACGATCGACTGGACTAATAGTCACGATCGACTGGTTGGCCACCCATGTCCTATTTTGGCTATCAATATTGTTATATAAGGAATACATATTGCTTTTTAATATTTTTTTAATAACACCATTTAAATACTATTAAAATTTGCTAGTATTTTCACTATATAGAATATTAAAAAAAATGCCAGTGTTAACCGGGATTAACTAATCGGTATTAAGGATTCTAATGATACCCTTTCCGTTAAGTCTATCAAAAGTCATGGTTGATTAATGAAGTTCACTTAAGTACATACCTACGTACATTAATCCTACATACGTGTAAGAAAATAATCTCAATAGCATTTTCAAGGTAAACTTAACAATACGGGTCAAAATTTCAAATTGATATAGACAAAGAAACGTAACTTGATATACATGATTCAGCATCCATGACTCATGAAGCCGACTCGACCACAGGAATGCACAAGTTTCCTGAAAAGTTTTATAAGATTTGAAAGCATTGAGATGTTTTCTTGCGCTATAAGTCAAAGTATAGTCTATCTATACTAATTATAAAGAGGAGAGAGTTATTGTTTGTTTGATTATATTTAATAGGCTTCGAAACTGATCGACCGATTTTTAAAATGTTTTCATCTATAAGACGCTTATATGCAGGTGACATAGGCTTTAATTTACACGGGCGAAAAAATACGTCTGTATTTAAACGTGAAATATTATAAATGTAATTTACCTATAAAGGAAAATATTATCAATGCGAGTGGCATGGCATGTTTAGATTTTACAAGTAGTTGTTTTTTTTTTTTTTAATTACAGGTCTATATAGCAAAGGAAATATATATGACCTTATTATAGTCTGATAAAAAATCTGTACTTATACGAATTAACATGACACTTGAGGGCAGGTCTATTCGATTTATCCTCGAACGAAAAACTGTAAGTTTCGAATCGTTCTTATAATTTTATTAAAATTATTTTCTTAAAGATTATTTGTGCATCAGAGCCTTTTCGCTCATACTGGAACTTAGGGCACTAATTCGATGCTGGAATGACGTCCATAAAAAAATCACAATAAAATAAGAGGCTAATGTAAATACACCAATTAAAGAGTACAATTTTGCCAGTCAGAACTCCCTATACTGCTGGTCTGAACATTTTGAATTTTGAAGGACAAATAACAAATTCTTAAGGTACTGTGCTATACGCCCCCAAATACGAGCACTCTAGGCAGTGCCTAGTTTGCCTATATGGACTGGCCTCCTTTGCATCATAAACTATCGTAAAATGTGTTTTTTTTAATCGTATTAGCACTTAGAAAATACTTTTTCGATTTAATAGAATAGACCTTCAGTTATCATGTTAATTTGTACTAGAAGTACATATTGGAAACTGTAAACAAAACAAAGGTGACTTGCATAAAGTCAAATACGCTTAAAGGCTTATGTTTGCCGTCCAAACGGCATTAGATTAGCTCCGGAATAATCTTAAGGAAACGGTACTAATCCTTTATCTTCCTGCGTTCCAGTTGCGTTTACTATCTGATAGCTAGTGGACTACTAACTCACTGTGCTAGCGTTCAGTAATAGTATGAGATACACCAGTAGGACACGTTAATTCGTACTAGATTTTTATTTATAACTATCTGTTTCTCTCGATTTCGCCCGCGAAAATTATAGACTTTCATTAATAACTACCTACTACAGTGGCGTAACAACAGGGTGGCAAGACGGCAAAATGCCGCGGGCCCCCAGCTGGAAGGGGCCCCCAGTCAAAGAAGATTCCTTACTCCTGACATTTATTATTACACAATTAGTAATAGAAAAATTGAATATCCAATGAATTTGCCATGAGTCTCAAACACTATACTTACGGTACTGACCTACTACCTTCTTTCATTTTGTACCCAAATTAATATAAATGATAAGTTTTTAACGATCTTTTCGAATAAGTAATGTATCTAAGTAATTTTGTCTTTAATAATGTCATTTGGACCATTACGAATTTAAATGATTAAAAATGTACCTCAGTATATCAATAAGAAGCATAAAATTATACCCAAAGGATAGAATGGGATAGTATTACTAATACTCTGCTGTCCGTCCGTGTGGCACCAGACTTATGAAGACAGACGGTTAGACAGTTGAAACTTTTACAGTTGATGTATTTTTGTTGCCGCTGTAACAACAGAATAAATTAATATTTAAGAACTCCCATACGACAAACTTGTTTTTTATTTGCGTTTAATTACAGATAAAGGTACGAAACTCTTCATGCGCGGGTCAGACTTTTTTTTTCAGGGACTTTCAGTGAGCGTCGTTGAAACAAAATATTATTCATTAAGTCATTAATATATTAACGATTTTAATATTTCGGTTGGAATGAGCGGATTAATGTTAAGGCAGATAACGTTAATCCGCACTGCTTTGGGGTCCCACATCCAATAGGGGCCCGCATCCAACAGGGTATCCACATCCAACAGGGTACCCACACCCAACAGGTACCCACACCCAACAGGGGCCCCGCGTGCCGAAGTAAAAATATTGAGGATACTAAAATATTATGTCTCGTTTACTTTATTTTATTGCATTTGAAGTCATTCAAGCCTTAAACTACGTCCCACACGACGAATTTATTTTGTTGAACGCAGATCGATCGATCAGAGTAAGTAGATGGCGACCCGAGAATTGTATTGCTTATGGGTCTTTCAATTGACGTAGGTAAGTACAAAATAATGACTGTCAAATTTTACAACACCATCTTGCGCCATCGCGTAGGTTTATCATTGGTGGAATGCGTACATACATTACTGTTTATTATAAACACTTTGTAACTTAACGGAACCAACTCATTTGCAATTATTATTGCTTACGCATGTATTTTGTTTAGATACACTATAAACAATACGTAGTATTCATGAAATATTCAATGAATATTGAATAAATTGGAAATTGTTCGCAGCAGTTGTTTATTTAAATCGTTTCAATATATTGCGGTTACGATACAGTTACGAAGATAAAGCAGTCATTTTATGTTAACGAATCGGAAATCTTTTTTAAAGTATCTACAATACCAATCGTCCCATTAAATAGGTATTTTGTTTTGTTAAACAAATAAATTGTCATTAAACTGTATATACATAGTTCTTTAAAACAAAAGAATTTTGTTTCCTTCAAGTAGAGAAAAATTGAACCGAGGCAAAGAATATGCCACATGAAGATGAGTACTTACCTTAAAATTCTGACTTAAAATATTATACTAAAAATAAATAAATCGTGATGTTGATAATCAGGTTTTCTACCAAGGCTGAACGCACACTTTGGACAACGTTACACTGTGTCGGCGACAGAAGCACTTTCAGAATTCCAGAGGTTACAGCTCAATCAAAGGGCAGCGAGGAATCAGCTGGAACGAGTTGTGGACTTGCAAGCTGGAAAGGGGCAACCTTGGGACTTGGTTGACAGATTCGTAAGTGTAAAGCTTAACTAATGTGGTGGCATATGTACTCCGATGATGGCAGGATTTTTATTCCGAAAAACACATGAAAGTGCTAGTCTGATGGAAAGAATGATCGTGATATAAAATTCGTATTAGATCTGCATGATTGCAAAACTCAAAATAAGGTGAATTCGACTAATTGTCAAATAATTTACAATTATTATAACTCTTTGGGAAGACCAATTACAGATGGAAGGTTAATTGTGTAAGAAGATGAATAAAAAGAAGAATATGGACGAGAAACAGTTGGTGAATGGACAAAGAACTTAGTGTGTATGAAGAAGAATGAAGGAGGAACAGAAATATTAATTAATGAAGAATATCTTAGAAGAAAGATGAAACAAAGTGAAGATTTTGAGAGGAAGAAAGACTGCTTGAGGCAAAAAGTTAGGAGAATGTACGGTAAAACAATGTATTGTAAATAAGTTATCGTCAATTGAACGTTTTGCTTCTGCAGTCGGCGACAGCAGAGTTCAAACTGCCTTTAGTTGTGGTTCGGCCTGAATGTGCTGGCATACTGCGAGACTTGCCCATGGACGAGGCGAAATTATCACCCGCATCACATTCTATCAGCCCATATTTCATGGAAAACGATGATCCAGATAAATTTATAAAGAAAGGTAAAAATAGGTTACTGGATTACTATCGAAGGTATGACTATTATCTTGCAGTGGTAATGGCAGCAAATTCTTTCGAAGAAAAGTCCTGTTTGCTACAAGTTTGAAATTTATGTGTGTTACTCACATCAAGACGAATTAGGGTTTCGCGTTTTTTTCTATCATAAGTTTTTTTTACTTCTATTATTCTTATGGTTATCATTTCTGATGATGCTGTAGTAGAATCGTCCTGCTTGAACTGTAGCACTTATTCATTGTTTTCTCTTAACTACAATTAAAAACTTACGTTCAATGAGTACAGACATAATTAACCATCCGTATCTCCTTAGCCATCCATAAGGAAGGCGTGAGCCCCTGCACTGGGGACGTAAAAGGGCTGATGATGAAAGTTTTTTGGATATATTTTTTATCACCCAACAAACGTATGTACTACTAGTTGTTTTACCGCGACTTGGCACGCGTAAGTAAGAAACCCACGTCGCGTGTGATGCAGCTTTTGAAAGTATTTTCGTTATCAGATCAGTATTTCCGAAGATTACCCCCTACAAATAAACATGTGTGTGTGTGAGTGTGTGTGTGTTAATACATTAGGAGTTTTTCAGTACCTTCGTAATCATACTTTTGTAGCCAATCTCTTATAGGTTTCTTTATTAAATGGTGATTAAAATTTTTGCTAGTATAAAATTTATCGAATGAATTATATAAGTAAGGCGCCGTTTTGGTATTTGGTATCTATCTCCTTTGTCGCACCTTTGTATTCTTGTTTTCGGAATTAATAGATTTGCAGAGTATCGATGAAATCGCCTTGCACATTGGTATATAAATAGTTTTCTGACACTTAATACCTGAGCAATTTCATAGACACGTGTAGTTGGATGTTTATATGGCAGATGAAGCAACACCTTTAGCACCACCCGCTGAGGTACATCAATTAGGAAAGTTTTGCCTGCACCACCTCAAGAACAGATTCCATAAGTGATGATCGGTTGACAAAGTGCGTTGAAAGTTTGTAGTAGGAGTTTAGGATCAGCAACATTACGCAATGATTTAAATACATATTTAAGTTTCCTCACTCTCTTTGATAAAATCCTAATATGATGGAACCGTTGCAATCTATCGTCAACGGTGATACCTAGATTTAAATAAACAAAACTTTTTGCACGATTGTTGACTTTGAGTCAAAATTATCTGTCTCTTTGGTGTTTATGAATATCAATAGCATGTCAGCTGTCAGCGACGATTCAACATTCATGGTAGATGTAATTAACGCGTAGCATTGTCATTTTTATTTTAAAATTCATGTCGTATGCAAAAATTCATTCTTCCTTTGTGAGAAATCAAATATGGGGGTATAGTCCTGCAGAGTCTGTTCGTAAGTTTCTAATTTCATATCATAACAATATTGGGACATGATGATCACATGGCTCCTCGAAATTAAAAAAAAAAAAATTATCACCTAAGGTCTAAAAGGGAGTATCAATTTAAATTACATTTTATATTTGAAAGGTTGAATAGAGGTCTTTCTGTTCTATGATTGGCTTCTATGCGAAGTATGTGTGAATTCTGTACAGCATGTCATAGCGCTCGCATTCGGGTAACCATTTGCTGGTTGGTAGGTCCCAAATGCTGGAGTGCTGGCTTTTATAATATTTAAGTTTCTATACTATGATCTTGCGGGAAACACTCTTAGGAGGTAGGTGCTAGGTTATCATTGATTTTTATTATATGGTTTTATTTCCGTTTTTGGTGACCGATCAATAAAATGGGCCATTTCATGGAGTTCTACGGTGTATTGACCATCTTATCGACCAATGAACGAGAGCCCTAGAAGTGGATGAAGTATTTGAGTTCATAATTTCTATTATTTTTAGGTTTCTCCGGACATGTCCCATATGGCTTCCAACGTTTTGGCGAATCGTCCAAGAAACTTACAAATTCCGCTCTTTGTGATTTCTCTTCTAACTACAGAAGAAGGCAAAGCACTGAGTGGGCTCCAGTGAACGTGGTCAAGTAAGTTTAACATGTTATAAGTCTATTTTTGATAATTTTCTAGATTCGTTCTTTATATTAAATATTATAAAGCTGCCTGGCAACTTTCACGATCAACTTGCGCCTATGATGTACCGCCTTCTATCTCATCACTATTTTAACATATTCGCAGTCATAAAAAATATGAAGTATTTTGGTATATATTTTCAAGACCGTTGTATTTATCTTAAAAATGGTTTTATAAATAACTTGTTAAGATAAAAACGATTTTTTCTCGGTCTTTTTGCGTTTGTCGATTGGTTCCAAATACTTAAGATCAGTATTGAAAATTATTATTTTAAAATTATTGTACATTATTAATTTTATTTATAATAAAGTAAAAATGAATGATGATAAAGTAAAGATAAAAAGTATGACTAGACTGTATGGGCTAGTAGATCCCTTTGTATTTTATACGTCACGACAAAAAAACTGTCACTGTCAAAGCGTGTCTGTAATTTACGTGCTTAATATTTATTTTTGTAAGTGAAAAGTATCGAAAAATGGGCAAGAAAAAGCCTCTATCAAACCTCTCTAAAGAGGAGAAAATGGTTATTGTCATATCGGAGATTATACAAGAATTATTAGTAGCGCATCGTCAAGGGAAAGATGTTAACCTCAACAAAATGAAAACGAGGATATCGTCAAAGTACGGACTAGGAACTTCTCCCCGGCTCGTGGACATCATTGCCGCTGTTCCTGCTGATGCTAAAAGCATCTTGCTACCTAAGTTAAAGGCAAAGCCCATAAGGACTGCCTCGGGTATTGCAGTGGTCGCGGTTATGTGTAAACCACATCGTTGCCCCCATATAAACTTCACTGGTAATATATGCGTCTACTGCCCCGGAGGTCCCGATTCTGACTTTGAGTATTCCACTCAGAGTTATACTGGTTACGAGCCGACTTCTATGCGAGCTATTAGGGCTAGGTACAATCCTTACCTCCAAACGCGCCATAGAGTCGAACAGTTAAAACAGTTGGGTCACAGTGTGGATAAAGTGGAATTTATAGTTATGGGTGGCACTTTTATGAGTTTACCTGAAGATTATAGGGATTATTTTATTAGGTAAGTTTTATTTATGAATATCTTTTCTTATAATTCTGTCCTTGGCACAAGCTAAAAATGTTAAGAGCAAAGATATTTTTCTCAACATTACTAAAACACATTGACTGTTTATCAATTTTCAGGAATCTCCATGATGCTTTATCTGGTCATACATCAAGTTGTGTGGCAGAAGCTGTGAAATATTCAGAGAAGGCAAAGACTAAATGCATTGGCATCACAATAGAAACAAGACCTGACTACTGTCTACAGAGGCACATGAGTGACATGCTTAATTATGGATGTACTAGGTGAGTGAAATTTCATATATTTTCGACCTTAACCCTTGGTCATGTACCACCTAGTTGCTCAAATATCCATTAAAATTCTCATTAGTTTAAATGATATTACTAATACAAAATTTCTAATTTATAACATCCTATTAGATTTTAAAGTCAACATTAATGCATCTGGACATGGGTGTTCTAACTTTTTTTTCCAAAGAATTTTGTCATAAAAACTATAATGAACTCAATAGTGCACTTTCACTTAGTGATTATTTATAGATACAAAACAAAGCTATAGACTGTCCAACATTTACAATACTTTTAGTAATATTATTAAATGCCAGGACTTCATGCTGTATGCGATACGTATTCTGGCCTGTCTTAGGATAGATCACCAAAAATTTACTGTCTCAAGCTCCTCCATCCTTCTGAACACATGTTAAGTCATTGGTCCCAGCGGCATCTGCAGTTGTTAATATTTACTAATCCGCACCAGGCCTACATGTGGATCATGGTCCATTCTCCCTCCCTATTTGATAAGAAAAATCTGAGCTTAGGCAGTGGGGACATCAATAGCTTGGTGTTGGATGTTATTATTAAAATTATACAGTCTAATACATTATTATTATTATTTTCAGACTTGAAATTGGTGTGCAATCAGTGTATGAGGATATTGCCCGTGACACAAATAGAGGGCACACCGTTAAAGCAGTCTGTGAAAACTTTAATCTAGCAAAAGATGCTGGTTATAAGGTAATATAAATACATATTATGTATTTTTGTGAATTTAATATACCTAACTACTCATTTAATATACCTAATTTGAAAATTAAATTTAGAAATCTTGTAACAACTTCTTTTAGGGTAAATAATCTTCAAAATATAATGGCTAGAGCTGCTTATCTTCATTCAGTATAGTTAATTTTAATAAACAAACCATTTTCAAATGACATTGTTTATATTTTCAGATTGTTGCTCACATGATGCCTGATCTACCAAATGTGGATTTTGAAAGAGATGTGGAACAATTTATAGAATTCTTTGAAAACCCAGCATTTAGAGCTGATGGTCTCAAAATATATCCTACTTTGGTGATCAGAGGGACTGGTCTTTATGAATTGTGGAAGACTGGCAGATACAGAAGCTATCCACCATCAACATTGATTGATTTGATTGCAAAGATATTGGCTCTTGTACCGCCTTGGACTAGGGTATACAGGTAAATAGAATGTATTGAAACAATTCAAGTAAATGTACACATGGCTACATGTCAGATACCACAATATATCAAATTTCCATAATGAATTTTTTTTTTAATTAATAGATTTACTGTCCACCAACTTTTTTTCATTATAAACTTCTCAGTCTAATAAAGTTATGATACTTTTGGATATCCCATCGTTTTTTGTATTTGTTGTAAAGAATATTTTCAATAATTAAGCATTAATTTTTTGTAGAGTTCAGCGTGATATACCGATGCCTCTCGTGTCCTCTGGTGTAGAACATGGTAACTTAAGAGAGTTGGCACTTGCTCGAATGGCTGACCTCGGCACTGATTGCCGTGATGTCAGGACTAGGGAGGTTGGCATACAAGAGATACACAATAAAGTCAGGCCATATGAAGTAAGCTACTACATTATTATGTATGTTAAATTTGTGCTAACTGAGCTATTGCTAAATGTAGTATAAATCGATGAGTATATTTTAAATATAGGAGAGTGAATTCATAATAAATCAAATGAATCTTAGTGTTATTGAAGGTAGTTTTTAAGTTTTCATACCCAAAGGGTAAAAATGGTACCCCTTTACTAAGACTCTGCTGTCCGTCTATCTGTCAATAGGTTGCATATCATCTCCATAATAATGTCTTTTTGTTGCTGTTTTAACAACAGACACTAAAAACTATAAAAGAAATATTTTAGTGAGGCTTCCGTCCCAAAAAAATTATATTTATTTGTGTTTTTTTTTTAGAAAATGGTAAGGAATCCCTTTGTGCGCGAGTCCAACTCGCACTTGACCCCATTTTTTTATCTCGAATTTACATTTTCTATATCATGATTTTAGGTGGAATTAATAAGGCGGGATTATACAGCAAACGGTGGCTGGGAAACATTCTTGGCTTATGAGGATCCAGACCAAGACATTCTTGTGGGATTGCTGCGCCTCAGGAAGTGTGCCAAGGATACTTATAGACCGGAACTGAAACCTGGACCAAACTCTAACTTCAAACAATGCAGTATTGTTAGAGAATTACATGTGTATGGATCTGTAGTGCCTGTAAGTAGACGTGTACTTTGTTCATTGGTTGATTAATTTAAATCTAAAATTACAGTAAATGTATTTCATGATTGAAGTTATTTTTTATACTAAAGAACCTTTTTAGAGTAGATTAAAGCAAAATAAATTGTTAATAAACATATATTAGACAACATCACATACATTGATTGAGCGGGGACTCAGTGAAATTAGATTAACCATTCAGATAATATAGCAGAGTGGTTCGCACGTCGGTTTCAAGGTGTCGCCACCTCTGAGGTCCCGGGTTCGATTCCCGGTCAGGTCAATGCAGAAAAACGACTTTTCTATATTGTCTCAGGTCCGGGTGTTGTAGTATCTTCGATGTTTTTGGATACTCCATACTCCATAATACGACAGAAGAGGACTTTAGCTATTCGTCTTGGAATCTGAGAAATGTTTGTGATGCCGTTTAATATATTATTTATATTTATCTACTTATGCTGACTGAACAGTATCTTCTAGGACAGGGGTTCTCAAACTGACAAAACATTTTGTCAAAACAACAACAAAATGTTTTCTTTCGTAGGATGCCCCTCATTGGGGGATATTCGAAAAAAAGGGGTCCCATACAATTTTGGTATAAGAGTATCATGACGGAATCTTGAAATACGAACTTTATGAATTTATAGCGGTCGGTTTTTTAATATCGTTGCCAATATCAGCCCCTAGGAGAGATTCTCTAATTCTCGATATCGACCACTTGCGGTCTAATCTAAAGGATTTTGGGAATCCCTGTTCAAAGTTATTGAGATTGTTTTAACTTCAATATTTATTATCAAATTAATATTCCAGGTAAATGCTCGAGACCCCACTAAGTTTCAACATCAAGGTTTCGGTATGCTTCTAATGGAGGAAGCTGAGAGAATAGCGCGCGAAGAGCACGGCTCCGACAAAATGGCCGTTATATCCGGAGTCGGCACTCGCAACTATTATGCTAAGATTGGATACCATCTAGAAGGGCCGTATATGGTCAAAATGTTGCATTAGAAATAAAGTGAACTTTCAGCTGTTGACTTAAAGTCTATTGTTGTAAGCACAGATGTATGTGAAACTATTGTAAATATAATGTCAAATAAATATTTGATTAAACAGAATATTTCTTTTGGTTTAATTATTCGTTAACGCGGTATCGTAAAATGCGATCTATTACAGTGCCGATGCCAAACATTCTTACCAGTCGTTTAGGTCTTGATTGACAAGAAGACAGAAGAGTCTTGAATGATAAAAGAAGAATCTTAACATATTACAGCATTTAGCTTACATTTTCCACTGGCTTTAAATAGTATAGCTACGTCTATTATAGATCGCATGTAAGGTTCCTTTTACTACGTCTTTTCTAGATAATAACGAAATTAAGTTCAAATAATTGATAAATGTTACCAATCCTATTGACTGCGCGTGACATGAACAGATACTCTTAGCTGTATAGTCAAGGAATTATCATTGATTGTGATTCAGATTGAGTGGAAGCAATAATATCCTAAAGGTGGCATAGTTTTACATTGCCATACAAATAAATAAGTACGCATTTCATACATTTTTAATCAGAAAAAAAGCAGTTTTAAGAAATATATTTTGTTTATATTAGATTATATCAACACCTATTTTTGTAGACCTATATTTTCTATGAATATAGTTAAGATGATATGTATTAGTCGTAAAATCGATTCAATAAAGTTATTTAGTGTATTTTGCGATTTTTTTCTATCGAGTCAATTATTATTGAATGTTTCTTTTTTTTTAGCAAACAATCGATCATATGTTATTTTGATTTGGCTAATATTATCACAGCTTTAGAATAAAATTGGTTTAAAAAGTATATTGAATGTTTGTTTTTTTTTAGCAAACAATCGATCATATGTTATTTTGATTTGGCAAATATTATATAGCTTTAAAATAAAATTGTTTTAAAAAGTGGTAATTTCTTACAACCTCGCCTTAAGGAGTATTATTATATTTAATCCTTATTCCATCCCTGCAGACCCGATCCACCCCTGTCCATCAACCCAACGGAGTTATATCACAAGCACGTGGGCATGTTGCCTAACTACGCGGGTCACGTTCCAGGATCCATGTTCAGGTACGATACGATTTATTTATTTTAATATGCGAACTACAAAATAGTAACAAACTCGTTTCAATTATAGCAACGAGAGAAATGCGTGCGATTCCGCTAGAGGCGCTAGGGTAGCATTTAGAGGTAGCAGATTTGGTTTACATTTGTAATGGACTATATTTCTTTTACATATAATAAATAATAATATCTGTAGCAGAAATAGTTCTCTCTTCGATAGTACACACGGCTGCATGTCACGTTATACACCACCTTTGTTAGAAGGGAAGTTTTGTACGAACCACGGTCGGTACAAAGTCCACAATATATAGTCGGATGTGCGGCCGTGTGTACATTTAGTTTTCTTTTGAGAAAAAAAAATAAAAGCGTGCTAATGAGTGTGAGCGTATGTGCGTGTGTATGTACATGTTTGGGGGCTAGATAGCCCTGACTTAACCTTTAGGGTCCATTTTCACTGCGCTATCAAAAAAACGATAGCATGATGTCATACTATTTGTGACAGTAGATGTGCTTTTATTTCTATTATTGACATATCCAAGGAAACGGTTTCTAGATAGTTTCATCTTTCAAGAAAAAGGACACCTAAACTTTATTTATATTGCTATTATCATGAGTAGTACTTTTTGTTTGTAGGTGTAAATTGTATCAGAGTGATCATGTCACAAACGTACCACTAGTAAAGGTACGCTAAAATTTAAATTTATTCAGATTATATGTGAGGGCAGATTAAATATCGTATACTTAACTCAATAGGATGGTCATGGCAGCGACTTCAGCAGTGCCGCTAATCAAAACATGTCAAATATTATTACATATCCTATTTTACTTCTAACACTTCCGAGAGGAATTTACTGCTGTCATTTGGCATATTTGGATAGCCAAAAAGATAGTCAAAGGACATAGGATATCGTCATATTTATCTTGTCTGTCTTCCTCTTTGGCTTTTGTAAGCCTGCAAAAGTAGTAACGGAAGCGCAGCTGGCTTTGCTACCATGGCATCCCATATGACTCAAAAAATATGATATTTGTTATATATTAACATTTTAATATTCTATTCTAAATGAAAAATGCTTAAAAAATCCATTTTGTCCCCGACTCTCTGAGATGGGGACTCGAACCCATTCGCAATCCGGGCAACTTCTTCTTAAGCATTTCTCACTAAGAATATTTTTCAGATAGCATTGTGAATGCTAAATTGATAAAATATAATAATTCTATCTATTGTTCAAAATAAAGTAAAATAAATGCACAATTACCACATTATAATATATTTTTAAATATAAATTGCGTATAAATAATACGCACCCCCGGTGCGACACTGTCACTTTTGCAAAAAATACAAAAATTAGTTAAATATGTAATAATTGTCCTAAAGCCCCCTTTACTTGGTGCGATAATGCTCCTTTTGTAGATGAATCATACGGAACTATGTTCCGTATGATTCATCTCATCTGTATCTTCTAAAGTCATTGTTTTGTGAGGTGGCAGAGTTTAAAACTCTTCTCCTGAAAAACTAAATTTTTGCATAAGTGACAGTGTCGCACCGGGAGTGCGAATAAAATAATAGACTTATGTGATAATTTCGCCGCCGGCGGCTTCGCCCGCGTGGTCCCTAGGAAAATGTTTAATGGGATAAAAAGTATCCTATTGTCTAAGTTAGCTAATACCCTATCTATTCAAATATTATATTTTATATACACCAAATTTCATCAAAATCCGTTCAGCAGTTTGACGGACAAACATTCAAACAAAGAAACTTTAGGATGTGTTACTCAGCGGATTATGAATGAAATTTACTATCATTTGATCGAATAGCTTCTATCCCGCAACTTCGCCCACATCAATTACGTAGGCTACGTGACCCGCATTGATTGTCATTATTACGTAACTTCCCGTAGGTGAAATTATTTTTATGATCAGCCTTGCGATTCTGTAAAACTTCAAACCCGATTTCGAAATCACTCGGGTGTCCGAATTCACTTCAAAAAGCGGCATCCGCTCAAACTTGAATTGGTAATAATGATTCGTGAAATAAGTGAGTTTCGAAGTGATATAGGATTAAAATATCTATGACACGTTTAATCAATCAATTTTGTTTAGTATTTTTATACAAAAAATGGAATCAATATGATTTCTATACTAAATGACGAGAATTCGGACACATGAGTGAATTCGAATTCGAGTTTGGATTGTTACAGAATCGCAAGGCAGCCCAGCGCTTCTGTAAAACTTCAAACCCGAATTCGAATCCACTCAGGTGTCCGAATTCACTTCAAAAAGCGGCATCCGCTCAAACTTGAATTGGCAATAACGTTTGGTGGCATAAGTGAAGTGATTTTGAAAATGATATTGGATAAAAATATCTAAGACACGTTTAATCAATTAATTTTGTTTAGTATTTTTATACAAAAAAAATTAATCAATAGGATTTCTGTACTAAATGGCGTAAATTCGGACACATGAGTGAATTCGAATTCGGGTCTGGATTTAACAGAATCGCAGGGCAGATCAGTATTACTCCCTACAATCGAACAAAAAAAATGACTATTTTGGATGTTTGACTACACTCAAACTAATATTCATTAAAATTGTATGTTTTATTGTTTACAGATTTGGAAAAACTTACGGCAATGATACACGGGACGCAAAACGGTGGTTGCGAGGAGATTTCTCATAAATTCAATCTATAACAAGCTGAAGCAACTTAGCCGATGAGAAATCAGAAGTAATAATTTTTCGAAGATGAAATTGATAAAGTTCAACTCAATAAATGATACAGCAACTAACAAAATAATGATTTATTCTTTTAAAAATTACATTGTGGTGAATTGATCTCTAATACAAGCAAAATAAAGTTCAACAATTTAAGAAATATTTTAGTTTAGAATATCAATGATTGCACGTTAGAGATCAGAGTATTAAATTTTTTTAACAATAAATTGCCGATTTGAAGCTTCTATAAGTTTTCAATACAGCTCTGCGATTCTGTAAAAATCTAGACCCGACTTCGAATTCACTCATGTGTCCGAATTCGCAAAGAAAAAAAATAAGATTTTTACACTTTAGATAGAATTTAAAGTGTAAAAATTCTATTCATTCCATTTTTTTGTATAATAATACAAGAAAAAAGATATTGGATATACGTGCCTCAGATATTCTATTCCTATGCCTTTTCTAAACTCGCTTTGCTTATGCCACGAATCAATTCAAGGTTGATCGGATGACGCTTTTTGAAGTGAATTCGGACACATGTGTGAATTCGAAATCGGGTCTGGATTTTTACAGAATCGCAGGGCAGTTGAAAAAAAAATAATTGTCCATTTATTAATTAAGCTGAGATAGAAATAAAAATATAAAAGTTTTTGTAACAAAATAAATGCTTTGTGATGCCAGTATAAGGACAATCGTTTAAAAGTTCTAACAATTTTAGATAATATATACAAATTTATTTATATAAAAAGATATATATCACATGAGTATTATTCTATTTCTTCGCATTCCATTCTCTAAGCAGCTTATCAGTCAGTTGCAAGTTTTCGTCTTTCTGTAAATTAAGAATATGAAATAAAGTATTCAACTAAATATAAATAAATAAATATATCACACAACATCACATACATTGCTCAGATTCCAAGATTAAGATAAGATATGAAACCGGTTTACAATTTACTAGAATCACTCCGTGACATTTGGAGTCGTGACGTCACATTTCAATAAACTCGAGTACTGGTTGCACTCGCAACAATGTCAAATAACCAATAGGTAAGTATCACATATATAAAATCAACGCAATAAAAAGTATACCCTAATACTTTCAATATACAATTGAAATTCAATAACTTTTCTATGAGTATGATAAAGAATCTTACTTTAATAAAGCAGAATCTTGCATAATTCTCTCCCAAATGTTTATGTGCCTCGGAATAGAATGCGGTGGGTGGGATGGTCAGTACTCCGGCTTCTTTTGCAAATTTCTTAGTAAATTTGTAGTCTTTATACTTATCCGGCTCGGATGATAAGTCTATCTTATCAGCTGTAACAAACATATTGAATGACAATTATTTACTAAAACTATTAAATGCATACTGGTTCTAGGTGACAAAATAAAAAAAAGGTGTTTCCTTGAGCCAAACAAGAGTGTGAAACATTTGTTGAGTGTGTGAGAATTTCGTACAATATCTCTTTTACTCTTGCATAAACATATTGCTATTACCTACGCTCGCACAGATGAATCTAGCCAATTTTTTTAGTAAAGTGAATCTAAAATGTTTGCAATATATATCAATAGGCTCATGCTGCGATAATAATCGAAAAATGCGCTTCTTTGGAGTCGTATAAGCATTTCGGAAAAAAGACCAAATGCCGTTTTCAGTGAAATAGAATAGGCCTTCAGGTGTCATCTTAATACGGGTGTAGACAGTAAACTTAAATAAATACATATTATTTTTCTTCTGGTAGTGTTTTATATACTATTACCGATAATTATACTTTTATGCTTATTATAGTTATAATATTGCTTAAATTAATTATGAAAATATAAATATTTCATACTCGTTGTCACGTGACCGCAAACAGCGTGTGACGTCACGCCCCTCTTACTCATATCGGAACTTAGAGAATTGACCCTTATGCATACATAGAACGATATAAGTTTTAGAGGAGTTTGACGTCACAGCGACGCCAAGACAGAAGATGGCGTTAACGCGGGAAGTTTTGAAAATTACATTTATTTTTAGTTTTTAACTTATATATATATAGATCTAAAAGCAATACGCTCACAGCAGCAATCGACCTCGTAACAAAGATTAAGCAAAATGTTGATAAGAAAAATATTGTACTGGGTACCCCCAGTACAATATTTTTCTTCATGATTCATCGATTTAAAAAAGGCCTTTGACACCGTGAGCCACAAATTGCTTTTGAACAAACTAGAAGCCATTGGTATTGCTGATAAAGCCTTAAAAATATTTGAATCCTACTTAACAAACAGATTACAGATCGTGAAAATTGATATTAACTCTCAAAGCCCCCCCCCCCCCTACCGATATCCTATGGGGTACCACAAGGGTCAATACTAGGCCCCCTCCTCTTTCTGGTCTATATTAATAATATGTACGAGTTGGGCTTAAAAGCGCATATCACTCTCTATGCTGACGATACATGCCTATTTTACTTTGGTTCTTCAATTCATGACCTTATCTCACAAGCCCAACACGACCTCAATGTTCTTTATGATTGGTTTCAATACAACTTGTTAACTATTAACGTCTCTAAAACTAGCTATGTACTTTTTAAAGCAAAAAACAAACCAATACCCAATTGTTTACCTCTTACCATAAATAACACACCTTTGCAAGAAAAAACCCACGAAAAATATCTTGGTCTCCATATGGACGCATGTTTGACTTGGAATAATCACATGAAGCATATAATAGCCAGATTAACATCACTACAGGCCTCCCTTCGAAGTAATATTCGATGCATACCACGTAAACTACGTTTTACAATTTATAATGCTCTTGTAAAACCGCATCTATTATATCTCATCGAAATTTGGGGAAGTGCTGCCAAAACTAAATTAGAAAAATTACAAGTCCTCCAAAACAAAATCATAAAAATTCTTTTCAATTACAATTTTCGAACAGCAACCGATAAAATTTATCGCGAAACTAAATTGATGAATATCAAGCAATTATACATTTATAATACTTGCCTATTTGTAAGAAAAACAATTAACAGTAAAATCCACACTGAACTAAAATTTACCAAGCGGAAAAAAGTTGGGCACCCCTGCACTCGACGCGCTAGTTTCATTGTTCTGCCCAAGCCTCGAACGAAATACGGCCAAACGTCGGTAACTTACGATGGCGCGCGCCTTTTTAATAGGATACCCTCGGAAATTAAAAATGTTGACTCGTTCGACGTATTCAAAAAGCGACTAGCAAACCACGTAATTGAGTTCTGGTAATTTGCTCCAATTAATTAATCAATTGAATCCACGATAAATTCTGCCTTAAAATCTTGCGAATAGTTAATTGTGGTGTTGTAAATTGTAGCTGTGTTGGTTTTGTTTTTGCGTGCAATGGTCAAGTAAGTGTATAATTATGTATCTGTTAATGCATAACATTAGTGAAGTGAAATGTATAGCAATGGATATGTGTTATGATTGTAGGGTTATTGTATTCTTTGTTAAAAACATTTTATTTTAATGTTAACAACTTATTTATTATATGTACGACAACGAATGTATGTTGTAAATTGTTATTGTATTTGTGTTCTCATGTAAGTGGCGCATATGTCTTAATGAGAATAAATGTCTTTAAACCTAAACCTATATATATATATTATATATAATAAAAAATATATAGTAAAAAATATATAAAAGTTGTCTACACCCCTATTCGTACGAGTGTGTTACATACCTAGGTTCGTCCAATCGGCGACAACGAAATAACCCCCTTCAGGGATTGTGGGATTGAATCCGTTCTCCCTGAGTGTTTTAACTAGATAGTCCCGTTTAGGCATTAGTTCACGAGCGATAGAGAAGAAATAGCATTCGGGCGTGTTGTACCGTTCGAGCTCATACTCGAATGAACGGGCTACTGCTTCCTGGTGAAAAAAAAGTCATTTCTTATTGAAAAATTATAGGAATATACGTCAGTTTCTAGAATAGTCTGCGCCATTCATTATGAATATAATATTATTTATATATATATATATATATATATAATATAATAGTAATCTCACATTTTTCATATCAATACAGAAAACTCAAGCGTGACATAATGAAATCTCTTCCATAATTTTATCCACCCGAAATAAAAAAGAAAATCTGTTAATTACGGCCAATGATTTATTTATTTATTTACGACACATAACAGATTACAATCAATTTCATTACAAATAGTATTTTAACAAGTTATTCGATTCTGATCATATGTCTTTAATAATAACTAAACGTGTTATTTTACAATTTAACTTTTATATTTTCAAAAATTAAGTAATCTGAGCATAATTAAATAGTATTAAGAAATGAAAAGAATACGACTTCCGAGCTATCGAAGATAAATTATCCTATGTAAGTCCCACCAAATTCAGTTTGGGTCACTCCAGGCACGCAGATGCGTGTTATACATTATTTTAAAGTGATACTGGTTTCTTATATTACACCGGACACTACTCATTTATTAAAAATTAGTATTATTTTAGAAATTATTACATTAAAAATAACCGAGAGAATTGGGGGCCCGCGTAATGTGGCATTGTGCGAAAAGGGCTGCTATGTTTTGTGATATGACGTCACATTTCAAAAGGTAATCAAAAACAAAGTATGAGTTACTACAATGTTATTATTTTATTAAAATTTTAATGGATATAAAATAAATCTGGAAGGTGCTGCATTAAATAGATTTTTAGTGTAACTTTGTCAAATGCGAAGTCCGATTTTCCAAATGTTTTAAATTCTGATAAGAATAGAAAAATGGTGTTAAAATATCATGAAAAACGTAAGACAAAAAATGGATAGTTCCAATATTAACAGTGCGATAGTTATACATTGTGGCAATAAAATTCTGTTCATTCATCATCACCAGCTCTTTTACATCTCCGTCAAGGGCTTAGGCCTTCTTTATGGATGGTTAAGAAGTATATTTTTATTGGTTAAATATTTACACAGTACATACTTGTATAGGCGTACTGCATGTATACACGCAGTTCTGGTGTACCACTTGCAAGTTCCTCATCAGGTTGGCGGGCGCGTATGCCCATCCAATCTTCCAGCCGGTCACGGAAAACGTTTTGCCAGCAGAACCCACGGTAATGGTACGATTCCACATGCCCGGCAAAGTAGCTGCAGACATGGTTATGCTGGGATTATTAACGAATAACACGAGCCTTTTTACGCATAGCTCAACGCGATGCAATGAGGAAGTATTTAAAAAAAAAGAAAGCACTAAAAAGCACCTCCACTAGATGGCGACTCTAGCAAAAGTTGATTTTGGTAGGAAACGAATGGGCCAAAGACAGTCATTTCCGTTCCTTTTAATTAACATATCAAAAAACTGAAATTTGAAAAGTCAAATATGAATAAGTACAAATATGAGTTGTTTATTGAGTTTTGAACCAAGCCGGCTAGTCACCGTGGGGCTAAGCGACTATAACCCTCTAGAGAGCCAAAAAGTCCAAAATATATTGTCAAAACACAACACTAACGCATTACTTATTTGCACATACAATGTCAATACATTAGGCACGAAAGAAAAACTCCTTGAACTGAAAGAAACAATGCAAAATATTAAATACGACATAATAGGATTAGCTGAAGTACGACGTTTAGGAACAAAAATTACAGAAGATGAAGATCATATCTTATGTACTACAGGTCAAACTCCAGGCCTATACGGTGTCGGATTTCTAATAAAAACAAAGCTTAAACACAACATCGAAAACTACACAGGAATATCAGAAAGAGTATGTTTACTACAACTAAAATTTGATGATTATAATCTTACTCTCATACAAGTCTATGCTCCAACAGAAAAAGCTAGCGAAGACGAAGTGGAAAAATTTTACCAGGAAGTTCAGCTAGCCCATGAATTAGCAGGAAAGAATGTGATTTGCATGGGAGATTTTAATGCTAGAATTGGCACACCAAAAAAGGAAGAATCGCTGATTACTGGGAAATTTGGTTATGGAACCAGGAACAAACGAGGAGTAAGACTACTTATACTATTACGCTTATGAACAAAATCTAACTATAATCAACACCTTATTTAAGAAAAATAAGAAGAAAAAATGGACATGGCTTTCTCCTGACAAGAAAACAAAAAATGAGATTGATTTTATCTTATCAAATTCTCCTGGCTCATTTACAAATTTTGAAACTATATCCACCGGCTTCCCAACAGACCACAAGATGCTAAGAGGCTCATTCAAATTAAAAGCCCCGAAATTAAGTAGGAAAAATTTCACTAATCCGAAAAATCAACTAAAGACATTAGAAGACAGATCAGAATATATTGCTAACTTAAAAAACGCTGCACCTGACCTTTTCGAAAAAGGAAATGAAAGTCTAGATGTCAACACATATTACAAAAAAATTGAAACCATAATTAAAACTTGCCTAAATAAACAAAAAGGCTACAGTCAACGTCGAAAACCAAATATACTTTCAGAATACACGTTAAACCTAATGAAAGAGAGAAGTCAACTACTACACAAGCAACACCTAAGTCAGGATGAAAAAGCTAGACTTACCTATCTATTCAAAACAACCAACAAAGAGATAAAAAGAAATTACAAAGATCATAGGGAATCAATATTTACGAGACATCTAAAATCTTCCGGTAGTCTAAAAAAGGCAATTAAAGAACTAAATACAGGAAAGGAATGGATTCCAACACTAAATGCGAACTCTCCAAAACAACAAACTAGGACAGATGTGATCAACACCGCCACAGAATTCTACAGACGGTTATATAGCGCCTCTAAAGACTTATACCACGAAGATATAGAAACTTTAATTACACCTAGACTAAATCAAAAAGAAGAAACGCCGTACTTTAAAGAGATCGACATATTAAGTAAATTGGAGAAATTAAAAGAGCACAAAAGCCAAGGCACCGACGGGATATCAAACGAAGCTATAAAACTAGCAAAACCAGTGATTCTTAACCCCTTAACGAGATTATTTAACAAAATTCTTGATGAAGAAACTGTTCCGAAGACATGGACTGAGTCAGAAATAATACTGATGTATAAAAAGGGCGACCCCACAGACGTGGAAAATTACAGGCCCATAAGTATAATGCCATGTTTATATAAACTTTTCGCTAGTTGCCTACTGGAAAGACTCAACAATGACATAGAAAACTACCAACCAAAAGAACAAGCAGGGTTTAGAAAATCGTTCAGCACAATAGACCACATACAAGTATTAGAGCAAATAATTGAAAAATATTATGAATTTCGCAGACCATTATATCTAGCTTTCATTGACTATAAGAAGGCATTTGACTCTATATCTCATCGAAGCATTTGGAATGCCCTTTATGATCAAAATATAAACACTAAATACATCAGAATCATCAAACACATCTACGAAAACAGTACTAGCAAAGTCAAGTTAGAAAATTCAGGACAAAGAATAGAAATTAACAGAGGAGTTAGACAAGGCGATCCACTGTCACCTAAATTATTCATATCAGTCCTCCAAAACACAATGAAAAATCTATCTTGGGAAAACAAAGGCTTAAAAATCGACAGGGAACGTCTTCACCATCTGTGTTTCGCAGACGACATTGTGCTTTTCTCAGAAAGCCCCACAGAGCTCCAATCCATGATGTCAGAACTTAACAACACAAGCACGAGCGTGGGCCTAGAAATGAATATCTCAAAAACAAAAATCATGTCTAATCATCACAGAACTCCTGTTCTTATAAACAATAATGTGGTTGAGTATGTAGACGAATATATTTATCTAGGCAAACAAGTTTCCTTTCGCAAAAATAACAACAGAGAAGAAATAGACAGGCGAATAGCAATCACGTGGAGAAAGTTCTGGAGCTACAAAGAAGTTATGAAGTCTAACATGGACTTAAAATTAAAAAAGAAAGTAATGGACTCATGTCTCTTGCCCTGTCTCGCTTATGGATGTCAAACGTGGATATTTGATAACATAACCAGAAGAAAACTCACATCGTGTCAAAGAGGCTTAGAACGTAGTTCACTAAACATCAAGCTAAAGGACAGGGTTCGCCATGGGAAAATAAGAAAGCAGACTGGTGTGATAGATGTCTTGTCCTTCGCTCGTGGCCTGAAATGGAGGTGGGCGGGCCACGTGGCACGCTACACTGATAAGAGGTGGACAAAGACTGTGACTATGTGGAGTGGTCCCCATGGATATAGAAGCAGAGGCCGACCAAAAGCGAGATGGAAGGACGAAATAGAATCATTCGGTACAAGAAATTGGCCAATTCTGGCAAAAAACCGTGTTAAGTGGCAATCTCTGGAGGAGGCCTTCACCCGTAGAGGGGTCCAGGTGGCATTAGACTAGAGGATACTTAACGATAACCTACTAACATGTACTGTACACATGCCAAATGGAATAATAAAGGCTTTTTTATTTATTTATTTATTATTGAGTTTTGAAAATTAATTTACTTTTAAACGTGAAAGAAAACCGGATAGGTTTTCATGGAGAAATCAAGAACGTACCGTAGCGGGATGGATGGCAGAAACATACAACTGATTCAAACTTTTTTTAATAATTTTAGACTAGTATTATGAAGTATCTGAGATAATGAAGACAATACAACATGGAGTGTTACCCGAGAAAAAATATAAAATACCTTTTTTACATTGACCCGACCGGGAATCGAACCCGGAGACCTTAAAGATGGCGACACCTCGAAACCGGCGTACGAGACATTCTACTAATGGAAGTCATGAACTTCGTGATAAAAAATAAATGAATTATCACGTCGTTTCAAGCTTTCATGGTCATTTACATTAGAATTATAGTTTTCTATGGAATTGCTACCGAGTAATTACCTTGTTTTTATATCTGGAACTTAATAAAAACAAGCTAACCGGTAACAATCTCATAGAAAACTATCATAATTTTTTCTTCATTGCGATTGATTGTAAACATATTAGAAATATACAACTAATCCATAGGTACTGTAACGTCCGTGCACACTACTATAGGTTTACTCTTTGGACAATTTATGGTCAATGCTGGCCGTTAGTTAATATTTTGAATTATTACTTTTTCCGTATTCGTTTGTGTTTTGCTGGTGGATAATTTACTTTCTGATCGAGACCGGCATAGTCAGTATCATAGAATTTAAGTCAGTATCAGTATCTTTTTGTAAGTAATTTGATGTATTTTATTCGCAAATAAAATCAAGACTGAAGAATTCTACGAGTATTTTATTGCGCCATGCAGAGCTACTGCTGATCCCTCCATTAGAGTACTTAATGCTATTGTTTTTCTTTATAACAGTTTATAATCAAAGTAATTATATACAAAACTATTAAAATTCTTCAACAGATTTTAAACCTTATTGCATCATAGTAAATAAGTTCCTACATTCACATTTACCTATTCTGATATGTTTCTGTGGCTCGTACACCATCCATTCGTATACTTCATCACTAATGCACAGCACATTATGTTTCTTGCATAGATTAGCAATCACTTCTAATTCGGCACGCGTGAAAACCTTCCCCAAGGGATTGTGGGGGGTGTTCAGAATTAACATCTTAGTTTTCTCGTTGAACAGTGACGTCAGTTCTTCCTCATCGAGCACCCAGTCAGCTGATGTCATGTTGTCACTATTCGACTTCTGTATAAATGAATTATATTAATTAGTCACGGTTGCACCGACTTACTTTAAACAATAACAAATATTTTAAAGTACTGGTTAAGCAAATAATCAGTTGCACCATTTAGCATTATTATAACTGCCCAAGCTGCGCTGTTTAAAGTTGTTATACTGTGCCAATAAAAAGGATGTTGCAACACATTCCACTGTTAATGTTCGAGTTAATATGACAGATAGTGTCAAATTTGATATAAACCTTAACTTTAACTGGTATTGTGGTGCAATTCAGCCTTATTGTCTAACAGCTATAGTTAACAAACTTTAAAATTTAATCTGTATTGATTGCAGCTGCAGATACTTGTTATCAAGTCTTGCTATTGAAAAAAAAAAATCTAACTACTCCTCTTTAACTGAAGGGTCATTTTATCTAAAGGCAGTAGATCTGTTAAAAAAGTTATATACTTTTAGTTATCTTGGTGAAGTTAAATGCACATTCCGAACATAATAGGAGGACAAGCCAGAGCTATAATTTAAGTATGCAAAGTCGCGTAAACAGCTACTTCTGTATATTTTTTAAAAGGGCCGATAATTAGTAATAACATTAGCAATACTTACTGGTTTTAGAGCTATGAATTTGCTCACACCACCAGCTGAAGTTATCATGTAGTCATAGCAATCGAAGAATGGTTCTATCACGATAACCTCGTCTCCAGTGTCCACATGACCTGAAACACTAATTGAGTATAGACTACAAATTGACAACTTAACAGTTATAACAATAAATTATAATATATGTTGGAAATGGTTACTTATATGTAAATAATAACTATGTACCATTTTTTGTTTTAAAACAAATTGTAATTTATTTTATTTTTGTAAATTTATCTGTATTTATAATATGTGGATGACAGATCATCATGTGATGTCACATTTCAGTAATCTGGCGTTAACGTCTTTGTTGTAAGTGTACCCAGTGTTCATATTGAAATGTCATGTCATAGCTGTCATGAAATGTCATGTGACTGATTGTTTTACGGGATAATTTAAATCAGTGAAAAATAATAATCTTGTAGCCAATTCATTCTGTCACAAGTTCCTTATCCAATATTCCATGATTTAAGAAAATTAAGTATAAATATAATTAAAACTCGATTTATTTCAATATTTATGAACATGGAAGTTGGCATTCGAAGGGTCTATTATCTCATTTAAAAATATTGGTCAAACTCTTTGATAAGGTAATGTATTTACAAAGTCAGGCCACATTGAACAACCTTTGCCCTTATTACAAACATAATTGTATTTATTTTCTATGGAAGGGCAGTAGAAATAGGGCAAAGCATATATATAATAGTAAAAATATATATGAGTGTACATCATGTTTGTTTGTAATGGACAGTGAAAAATAAAAATATAATTCAGTCCCCAAGGAAACCGCAATCCAATTGTTTGTCCAAAACTTATACCCGCCTTAGACAGTGGTGCTCAGAGTATGTGGTACAGTAATATAATTTATTTACCTAAAATAGCAGAGAAGAGAGCTTCATAAGCTCCGCTTGTTACCAATATTTCATTGAAGGGGTCCAATTCTCTTCCAATTAATGGAGAATAAACCTTAGATAAATTTTGTACTAATCTGGGATGCCCCTAAAATGAAAAAGACAATTTAATAAGAAAAAGAACTTATATTTCTTTCATCATTATTAAAATAAGTTTTTCTGACTAATGTAATATAGTGTTATTATCTGTCAAACGTTTAAATGAAGGCCTTCAGCATTTATTGCTTTTAAACATACTGTAAGTTTTCTTTAAAAAGCATTCGCCTGTATTGTAATATGTCAGACGTTAAAAAGTTGTATCGATCATTGTAATGATCAATACTCTTCTTTCACCAATAAATTATTTAATCTGTGAAATTACAGGTTGTGCAATGTAATGCTCAATTTGTCTTTCTCACTCATTCATGCTTGACTTTTTACTATGGTTCTAAGTGAAGGAGCACCTTCATGGTAAGAATTAAAGCATTTATTTATTTCTATTAATGCAGATTAAATTTCTCTTCTGTTTATGTCAGTTTTTAATATGACATTAGCCTATAACTGAATATACAGAGAAAATAAAATTCTGTGTTGATAATTAATTTATGCAATAATGAAAGCAATAAACCATACCATAGCCTAAAGATAAGTTAAATACAGTTATTATGACAAGAATGAAAACTGTAAGATTATATAAATAAAGAGATAATAAACATCAAACATAATTTAACTCTGTTTTATCAGTTAACATGTAGGTTTTAGTATATTTTCGTAATAAATTTACCCTAGCAAGAATTTAGTTCTTAGCAGCTGTTTAATATAGGTTCACTTTAATTTCAAGTTGTGGTTATTTTAAATTAATAATTATAAATTAACTTAACTTTTTAAATAGAATTTCAAATGATGATGCGAATTAGAATAAATATAATACTCACAAAACCTCTTGTGTATTGGTTAAGGAGAGGATTATCTCCTGTAGCTATTTCTGCAAGAGCCTTTGTGACATGTCCTGGTGGAGGATAATCAGGGAAGCCTTGACCTAGGTTCACAGCCGGTTTGTATTCGGCAGCTAACTGGATATATTCCACCCTGTTAAAATGAATAACTAACTAAATATTTATTTTATTTATTTAATTAAAATAAATAACTAAATATTTATTAAAAACAACATGCTTTTAACAATGTTTATAGTATAATAAAGGTCATGTATGATTAAAATTTTCATTCTAGTTATATTTTTTCATCAAATTTATTATTGCGTGTTACTTATTTGATTAGAAAAATAAGACTTACTTAACAATTAATTTTAACTATTTAAAAGGTATGCTATGATAGCCTTAGTTAAATTAAATATTAAAGAGTATATATTATATTCATTTTAATATTAACTGAGCATAATATTTAGTATCTAACAGGAAATTTAGGAGAATGATTATGTAATGAAGTTTCATACGTTGTTTTTATCTCAAAACAGTGAAGATTGCATTGATAATATACGAAAATCTTACAGCAGTTTAAAAAAAAACACTACTAATATAAAACATTTACTAACCACACACTTTTTTCACCGGTACCATACCGAGAAGGCAATTTGAACTTATCAGCCATTGATGATGAATATCTCAACTGATCACTCGCTATTTTCCTTAATTGCAGTTGACTTATCACACTGGTTCTGACCTCTGTGACAGTACCCACAACACGTCTGAATTGTCCCCAACTAAACATCGCAATGATAAAATAAAATACAGTTATCTAAAGCACTGACAAGATAATTATAACCTATTGACATTACATAAATAGCGCAATACGGGCCATCTAAACGCGATGTTTTACGTCACATATTATCTATTATTTTATTTACATTGCATGTTTTTGTATAATTTAGCGTTTAATCACCTAAAATTAATTTTATCGCGACAATTTGACTTTGATGGCTGAAAGTGACAGTGACAGTGACAAGTAGTGTTGACTTGACTTTTTGTTTTGGCATCACACGGTTAGTGTATTTTGTCAAAGGTAGGACGTTTACTTTATTTGTACTTTTTATCGCGTAGACTGAAAAGAAAGACTCCGTGTTGTTTTCTTCGCATTCACACAATAAAGAGAATAACATATAATTCATCAGTATGTAAGAGAAGGATACAGAGCCTTAGTGTGTACCAGTTTTTACAGTAGTGTGCTAAAAATAAATTAAATGCAACTAAGTGCAGTCTCAGCGTAAATTTACTCCAACTCTAAATCTTGTTTATTAATAGCACTGATAGAAATTTGAAATAGTACCGTTGCCGTAAAATTGTAAAAAATAATATGTTTACTAATTTCAACGTTACTTTGAAATTACGACTGAGAGATGTCAAATATGGTCTATTATAATGACAACTTGTATTCTAATAATAGTCTTTGGGCTAATTCTCAAATCTATCGTAATTATTTAAATTTGGCATTTAAGAGATATTTACGAACTCTACATGACATGTGATAGCGATCGCGAAGTTTTTTGAAAGATATTGAACGTTAATGAGTATATGATACGTTTATTTAACGTTAACAGGAAATGTTTAAGGAAAAGCATTAGAGACATGTATCTTGAAAAGCTATTGAGAAATGTCAAACTAAATGCTATCTGCTATCTTCCGACTGGTTTAGGAAAAATATATATTAAGTTACTTGATTATTTAAATCATAATTCATCACTGTGTCAAATTTATAATTGATATTATTAAATTTCTTGACAATTTAATGAAATGTTTTAAGCTTAATTCAATATGTCTGAATAGGTAAATCTCTCACTCAAACTAAAATATCATCATTGTACATATAACATTATTAACTGCAAATAAAGACGTTATTATTATTATTATCAATCGTTCCAAAAGCGATTGTGACTTGCATTGTCAAGTTCCATAAATCACTAACACATTCGTTATACTTATGAAAATAATATATTAAATAGACAATATGCCAGTTTTCATGTTCCCAGTTCCTAGTTTCGCTAAAAAGTTCTAAGTTCACACTAACAACATACAAATATATTTAGTACTATTGAAATATTATTTAAATCTGGAAATTGATTACATAATTCAACTTTCACACAAAATAGTCTGTTATTCGCGGTGTCTGATACATTTCTACTTCACACACACCAACTCAGTGCTGAAATTAATTAAGTTTTAAAGCTTTCTAATGGAAACTTTTACAACCTGTATAGACTTCATGCACGTTATTCATCGGTGTCGCTAACTCGTTCATAAGTCACCTTCTGACAAAACAGGGTGCCAATATTAACTAATTAAAATTTTTAAGAAATAATAAACGATTTTTCTGATTATCTTTATTATACAATATCGTATCATGAAATTGGCCAACAATTTCTTATGCTTAGAGATATAATATAATTAATAAGTCTTAATAAGAAAAGTAAAAAGGCCAACTCGCGGAGAAAGCTAGGCAATCTTATGGATCATTAATGGTTTAAGTACTTTATAAAATAGTAAATGGTGTTGGAAGCATTATAAAAACTTGTTCAATTACTTTTTTGTAATATTACAACACTGAAAATGCAGATAGGAAGCTAATGGAATAAAGATCTTGAATAGGTCAAAGGTCGCAAAGATACTGTTAACGCGTCTATCTCGGTTTCTGTTCACCCAACAATCTTATTATTTACTAATTGTTTTCTCGTAACATTGTTCACGTAAAATAAAGCCTATGTACCCAAAAGAATGTTAATTTTATTGTTTCAAAATCATTTTCTAAAGGAATAGCGACCGTGAGAGCGATTTATAGAATTAAATAACGTTAAAGTTGCTATTGCTTTCTGTACAAATGATGATTTGAATTTGAATGATCAAGAAACAATAAAAGCTTACCTAAACTCGTCGAAGGATTATAGTTAGCATAGAACTCTTTCGTTTAAAGTAATATTTGTGTATAACGCTTACCCTTAATAATTGCAATTAATGTCAAATTAACGATTTTTAAAAATCTCGCCATCGCAATAATAATCATGTCAATTATTTCTAGCATGAAGTTCGTGAATATCTTTTAAATGTCAAATTCAAAGGTATTGCCAAACATTTTAAAATTATACAAATTAAGTACGTAGTTTCAAACAAATATTCAATGAAATCTTTCATATTTGTTACTTAGTGTAGATTGAGAAGTTATAGTCTTCACCACGTATCACCAAGGGGGAGGAAGGGTTAAAAAACACTGAAAAAAACTATACCAATATATACATATCTAACAACTAAGTATCTACTCGTGCATGTCGACATTCTAGGCACTAAATTTCGTCAATTACCTGGAATACTTAATTAAAACTCGTAAACTGTCATTCTTAACGCAAGTGAAGTAAGGAGCGATGACGACACCGGCTCTTCCATTTTAATGAGATCCCACAACTCAGTTCAAAGATGTGGAAGTAAGGGAAAACTAAATTTACTGAAGCTAAATTAACGTCCACATTTGATTGTACTTAAGTGGCATAAGAGCTTTTTGAAATGAATTGAAGTGTTGAATCTATACGCATATTATAAATGCGAAGGTTCTCTCTGTTTTTTAAATGCTTAAATAGAGATGATAGCAAATTTTAGTTTATCTGTTCGCCAGAAAGATTATTGAAAAATAATAAACAGGTACTTTTTTATTCTTTTTCTAATTAATAAATTACATGGATACATTGAGTTGAAATGTCACATGACATCACGCCTTTGTAAATTATCTACATACTTGTGACGTAGTCAATCTTGCCATGACAAAAGGTTAAAAAGAGCGAATATTTTAGGTAACCAATTTTAAAAAATACAATCTTTTACAGTGTCTGAATTCGCTGTACTGACTTGTTTTACCTGAAACCACGTAGTTCGTTTATGACTATTTCAAATATAGTAACCAAGTTCTATCAAATGGGCGGAGTAGACGACGGCAACATATGCTGCCTCCGTTGTTAATTTATTTTTCTTTGAATTTTGACACTTTTTTAAATAACAACGAGGTCGATAAAATTTATCTGTCACATTAAACCTTTTGTAAAAGATATTCCTATTTTTGTATTTTACGCAAGTATTAGCAAGATTTTCACCTTCCGTCGTTTATATTGTGGTCCTTCGAGCAAACACGAATCATACAGCAGCATATGTTTTATACACCGTCGTGCAAAACGATGAAAACTCGTAGTGCTACACGAAAGGAAGCTGCTAATACTACTGGTATGTCTTCAGAAGTACAAATAAATCAGGAACGCAGGTGTGACGCACCTTCTTTGTCTAAAAAATCGACCAGAACAAAATCGTCATCTTCATCAGTACGAGCACGTAAGTTGCAATTGGAATTGCTAGCCGCTGAAGAAAAAACACGTATTAATAAAGAACTTATTGATTAAAAGCTGGCCGCTGACTTAGCAGATTTAAATAGTTACAGTTCACAAGCTAATTCAGTAGGGTGTTCAAAAAGTGACATCGGCGAATGGATGGATCGCAGTCAATGTGAGTTAAACCAACAAATTGCTAACGATTATGTTAAAAACAATACGGCAAATCTGTGCTCGCCGCAGGTGATCGCTGCTGAGGCGACCTCCGGCACTTATGTACCTAATTCACCAGTTGGCTACTGCACTGAAGGACCTCGCCAAGTCAACAACAATCTAATACCAAACTGATAAATATATTGAGCACATCGAAAGAGCTTCCCTGGTTTTCTGGGGACCCTATGTAATGGCTCCAGTTCAAACAAGCGTTTGTTGAATCAACTGCGATTTGCAAATTTAGTTACATAGATATTCTATGGCGTTTGAGAAAATGTCTTCGTGGAGCTGCTAAAGAGGCAGTCGCTCTCCTAGGAACGTTTGGCCAAAAGGCATGATTCAATCGGTATTCCCTGGTATTCCCGAGTAAGGATGGTCGTGTGAGAATGGTCGACATACGCACTACTTCAGGAAATGTACTCAGGCGGTCAGCTTCACGTGTCGCCCCGGTACCGTTGGCTGATGTGCCGGCAAGCCAGCACTGGGCTGGGGCGTGTAGACGACGGCAACATATGCCGCCTCCGTTGTTAATTTATTTTTCTTTGAATTTTGACACTTTTTTAAATAACAACGGAGGCCGATAAAATTTAACTGTCACATTAAACCTTTTGTAAAAGATACTCCTGTTTTTGTGTTTTATGCAAGTATTGGCAAGATTTCCACCTTCCGTCGTTTATAGGCGGATTGCGCAGAAATATAATACTTATATTCTACCTAAAAGGGTGGATATTTTATTTATGTATTTGTTTATATTTTCTTCAATTGTTGATAATCTTCACAGATATGAGTTTAAGAAAACTATAAGAACGATTAGAAGTTTTCCGAGTTTCCTTCGTAAATCCGTTGTGTAATTTAATGGGTCTCGGCGAAAAAGCTTAATTTTATACTCGTACTAATTCCTTTTTAAGTGTATATTCGCCATTATTTATAGGATATATATAATTATACATTTTAGTTTATTACAGTTTTCGAAATAACTTTGTTTAAATTTGACGTTTCTTAAATTCAGAAATGAGCAACAATCAGAAACATCGATTAAATGTGCAATTGTTTATTTAAACGATAAGAACATAATAAAATAATGTAATTATAAACATAGAGCTAGAGATATGGCGAGAGAATTAGGACTGTCAGGTTAGTTGCCAGTTAGGTTGCTCTACTAGTGTTATGTAAATTGTTACGAGTTTTTTGTACAGTCAACAGCACG